CTCCCACCCCCATCCCCCCATCCCCCCGCCTCTGTGGCAGGGCAATCCCCTGTGTTCTCTCTCTCCTTTTGGGTGTTGTGGTCTGCAAAAGAGGCATTGAGTGGCAAACATGTTCAGTCCATAGTCCACTTTCGACATGCATCTCCCCTCCTGGGAGGATCCTCCAAACACCCTTTATTTGGTGTTCCCTTCTCTATCTGAGAATGCTATTTCTATGATGACTTCTCAGAACCAAGCTGGAAAGCTTTGCTTTTATTTAATAGACATCTTTACTATGTGGGACCTGGCCCATGAGATCATTCATTGCCCTTTCCTTCAGCATGAAAAGCCTGTGAATTTATGAATGTAGCTTCTGTATTTTCTTTTCTTTATGCTTCAGGGGCTCCTGAAATTAAAGGAAACTGTGTCTGTCACTTTTTCTTGCCTATATCTCTCCAGGGAATATGTGTTTTCCCTCAAAGCATACTTTGGTGGAGTTATGGGCCTTTACTTGCTCAGGAATTTTTCTTTTGTTTTCGTTTTACTTTGCAAAAATCAAAAGGTAGATGTCAGAGAAGTTGGAATAGGAAATATATTCTTGTTGGATAGATATTTCACTAAATGCACCTTTCAGTGAGCTGTCCTTGTTGTATCATTCAGCTATTTAGTAGTAAGCATCATGAGGCGGAGCTAGTTCAAGGCCCATCAAGCACATCCTTCTCTCTATGCTTACCTACAGTTGAAGTTGTGCTTTTTCCTTATCAGTCTAACTTCTGACTTTCAAATGTTTGAAACAAGTCCATATAATAAGCCAGAACTAGCAATGGAATTGCCAAATAGTGTCCAGAAATGAAAATATTCAGAGAGAGTGAGAGAGAAGAAAGAGAAGCAGGAGGAGGAGGAGGAGGAAGAGAAGAGAAGAGTGAAGAAAAAACAGAGGGACATGAGGGAGTGGAGGGAAGTGGTAGAGTAATTGGGGACATTGATGCTGGGAAATGTACACTGGTGAAGGGACAGTGTTGGAACATTATATGACTGAAAACCAATCAAGAACAATTTTGTAACTGTTTCCCATGGTGATTCAATTAAAAACTAAATTAATTAACAAACAAAATATTCATCATCAAAGGGTCTTTAAGAAATGACTCCAATTAAAGCCTAATTAGGAATAACTAAGAGTGAGCTTGGGGGGTGTATATTTGCTTTTCTTATGATTTAATTAGGAAAAATACCATAGTTATTGGAATGGAAGATCCTGGCTTGACAAGTTCTTAAGTTTCTGTTTCCTGGGAGCTATCAGATAATACGGGTAAATTCATGGGATCTAGAACCCAAGTGATTGGACTCAAGTCGTAACTTTCCCATTTTCTTCATGTGACTTTGGACAACTTTTTAAACTCCAAAGGCATCATTTTTATTATGTTCAATGGAAAGATGATTACACAGTTTTGTTTATGGAATAAGTGAGCTGGACGCTCAGGCATGGTAGAATGATTAAATTAGTACAACTTAGAATGCTGTTGCAAGAGTGTCATGAGTTAATTTGTTAAGGGGTATAAATGTGATTGAAGCACCTTGAGTAAAAGATTCTGCTAACAGAACTAAATTTTCCAAGAAGGTCGCAGGAGATTGGGTGACAGAGAGAGGATGGATGAGAAAGAACCTAGAGACAGTAATGGAGGGATATTGACACTGCAGAGGTAAATGTGGTACACTGACGTTATATGCCTAAAAAAGTATAGTAATAGTGTTGTAAACCATAGTATATCCATTTAAAAACATTTTAATATATTAATAATGTGGAATTTTTGTTGGTTAATTTATATCTGTGTTCTGCATCTGGTGCTTAAAAGTTGGTTCCATCAGCAATTTATTTAGTTGTAATTTAAGTAGGCCTTTTGTCTTGTTAGTTTTACTACTGTTCATTACTTGGTTTCAGAAACTTGGTCTTCCATGGAGTTAAAGAAATGAGGGAACAGGATACAGCCAGCTTTCCATAAAGAACTAAGGAGGCAGTGGGGCTAGGAGATAGGATGTGGGTTATGGGCACTTTCCTTGCATGCAGCTGACCCTGATCAAATCCCCGGCCCCACATGGTGTACTAAATCAAGTAACCTCTGGGCATGGTGTGACACTTTTGCTAGTGATTTAGGAGCTTGCTGCCTGAGTAGGTCTTAGTTTTCTTCTCTCTATTTTCACTTGTCATATAGACATGAAAATTCTCATATGGGTCTATCTGTCTGTACTCCTGTTGCTCATCGATTTGCTCAAACAGACACCAGTAAAGTCTCACAACAAATTGTGAAACTTGTTGTAACTGTTTTTGGCATATCAAATATGTCATGGGTAGCTTTCCAGGCTTTGTCGTGTGGGCGAGATACTCTCAGTAGCTTGCAGGCCTCTCTGAGAGGGGTGGAGGAATCGAAACCCAGTCGGCCACGTGCAAGGCAAATGCCCTACCCGCTGTGCTATCGCTCCAGCCCTCTCATGTGGGTAATTATTAAAAATTGAATCCCTGTGAGATAGTTACAAAGTTGGTTATAATTAGGTTCCACTCATACAGTGTTCCAATACCCATCCCTCCACTAGTGTATATTTCCTCCCACCAATACCCCTGGTTTCCTGCCCCATACCCCTCACCAATCTGCCCTTAAGACAAACACTTCTCTCTCTTTCATTCTCTCTCCCTCCCCCCTCTCTCCTTTCCTTTCACTTTTATTATGGTTTGCAGTACAGATACTGAAAGGTGATCATGTATATCCCTTTATCTCATTTTAGCTTTCAGTTCTTGTCCAGAATGATCATTTCCAGACATCATTGTCATATGGTCCCTTTTCTCTCTTAACTGCCTTTCTCCTGCCCTCCACTCCATTTGTGGCAAGTTTAGTACAAATGAGGGCCAGGAGGACTGGTCCCTCGGAAATTTTGAATAGAGGCTGAGAGCTGTACTGTCAATAGGCCATTCTCTTTCTAAGCTGTGTGTCTATGGTACCCAAGGAAGATGAGGAAAATGGTTGCACAGAGAATGAACTGGAAGAAAGGTCTTTTGTCAGGAAATCTAAAAGGGAATTTCCGTGGTCCTCGTATGAGATGGTAACGGTTTGCCAGGGATGGAATTGAAGGGTTATCCAATCCTTCAATTGATATAAGAAAAGTTGCAATGCAAAATGTGTGTGGTTGAAAAACAACAAACAAAATATAGATCGAGTGATAGTCTTGTACTGACTTCTACTTGCTCAAGAAAGTGAAGTTTGCTTCTGATTATTTTTCAACTTTATCTTCAGGGACAGCACCTTTGTAGCTTGAAATCATTTGTAATACAAATATTTATACCTTTAAAAGCACAGCTCTGTACACCAAATAAAGGGTGTTGGGAGGATCCTCCCAGGATGGGAGAAGCATGCTGAAAGTAGACTATAGACCAAACATTATTGCCACTCAATGCCTCTTTTGCAAACCACAACACCCAAAAGGGGAGAGAACAAAAGGGAATGCCCTACCACAGAGGCAGAGTGAGATGGGGGTGGGATGGGAGGGAGCGATACTGGGAAATGGGCACTGGTGGAGGAATGGGTACTTGATCATAATATAACTGAAACCCAAGCAACAAAAATTTATAAGTCTACAAAAAAAATAAAAGTATAGCTCTGTAAGTATTCCTATAACAGAACTATAATCGATAAGTACTTGTAGCTCTAAAAGTAGCAAGCACTATCAATTAGGGCTTTTTCCTGTTGTGATTGTGGTACAGCACAGCGGGTAGGGCATTTGCCTTGCACGCGGCCAACATGGCCGATCTGAGTTCGATTCCTCCGCCCCTCTTGGCGAGCCGGGCAAGCTACCGAGAGTATCTCGCCCGCACGGCAAAGCCTGGCAAGCTACCCGTGATGTATTTGATATGCCAAACACAGTAACAAGTTTCATGATGGAGATGTTACTGGGCCCGCTCAAGAAAATCCATGAACAACGGGAGAACCGTGACCATGAACCGTGACCGTGATTGTGGTACAATTCAAACAGACTACAACGTGGCAAATTCCATCATAAATTCCATTCATTAGCCTTTTGGAAGAGAGTATACAAATATCCAGTAAATGCATTGTACTGCCTCAGAGTTGAAACAAAAAGATGAGTTCCTTTGCAAGTCATATGTTTTGTATTACAAATGTAATTTCATAGCAGAAACACTAAAACATTATTGCTGTGTTAGTCACTTTTTTCTACAGTAATTGTAAAGTTTCTTATGGATCGAGGAGTAGCTAGGTCCCATAATGAAGTAATATTTCAGCTGAGAATTCATGTGACTATGTGTTCAGATAGTCAGGGAGATTCGGTAAGGAAAAAATCTTGTACGATGCTGGGAGAAAAACAGAGTGAGGAGTTATACAAATGTCATATGTTTTCAGCTCTTGAGTTAGAAGATCTGGAGCCTCAAGAGGTAGCTCAGGAGACTGGAGACATGCTTTGCATGTTAGAAAACCAGGAGCAGAGACCCAGCCCCGCCTGGTCCCCGGAGCACCACCAGGAAGGGATGCTGAGTGTTTGGGTGTTCCCAGAAAAAACAGAACAAAACAAAAAACTTCGAAAATCTTCTCCTTCCTCTGAGAGGATGTTCTTTAAAAATTATATATATAATAAAACTATTTAGTGGTTTAGCAGAGATTTGTGAAATAGATTATGAAGCATCAGTAGAGGAAGCAATTTATTGAATGGTGATGACTGGGGACAGTTGTGAATGAATGTTATTTAGTGAAATTAGCTGTTATCCAGCAGTATAAGCACATGCCTCCAATTTTGTAATAAAATATATTGTGTCTAGTAATAGAAAGGTAGGAGGAATAAGATGCTTTAAAGAATGACTCTGTTTGGTGAGATTACAAATTACTATTTGTTTATCCCCGTTGTGTATCTATGTTGGCTACGTGATTACTAGAGTTAATAAAAACATCACAGTGAAGTAAGAAAAGATACAGTTTTTATGCTTGGTTGCGAGTAACTTGACAATTTGAATTTTTTTACAGGGGGTCCCGGGGCCAAAGGGAGAAAGGGGGGAACGGGTAAGTATGCACCATAAGCACAATTCTGATTCTCAGCCCTAACTCTTTGTATAACGTCATTGGATAAGACTAAAAAAGGAATCATTATTCACCAACATGGTGATTCATAGCTCTTAACCTATTCCTATCTCCTTAACTCATTTGACTGTACCTTTTCAAGTGAAAAGTACCTAGTGGGAGGGGCTGGAGTGACAGTACAGTGGGTAAGGTGTTTGCCTTGCACGTGGCCAACTGGCTTCGAGTCCCAGCATCCCATATGGTCCCCTGAGCACTGCCAGGAGTAATTTCTGAGTGCAGAGCCAGGAATAACCCCTGTTCATTGCCAGGTGTGACCCAAAAAGAAAAATCTGTACCTATTGGGGCTAGAAGTCAGGAGAGCTGGTTTCTGAATGGATACTGCTACCATTCAGCTAGATGACCTTAGGCCCATTTCTTTAAGAGAGAGGAGAGACTCCACCTCAGGGTAAAATGGGTAAAAAATCTCTGATGAGCATTAGAAGTCTTCAGGAAAGTAAAGCTTTCCTTCTGGTGTCAAATAGTAGAATGGGCGGGGCTGGAGTAATAGCATAGAGGGTAGGGTGTTTGCCTTGCACCCGGCCAACCCGGGTTCAATTCCCAGCATCCCATATGGTCCCCCTGGGCACCACCAGAATTCCTGAGTGCAGAACCAGGAGGAACCCCTAAGCATCTCTGGGTGTGACCCAAAAACCAAAAAAAAAAATAGTAGAATGGGGCTTATAATTTTCCTGACACGCAGCCAACATGGTCGACCCGAGTTCCATTCCTCTGCCCCTCTCGGAGAGCCCGGCAAGCTACCGAGAGTATCTCGCCTGCACGGCAGAGCCTGGCAAGCTCCCCGTGACGTATTCGATATGCCAAACACAGTAACAACAAAGTCTCCAATGGAGACGTTACTGGGCCCACTCGAGCAAATCGATGATCAACAGGAGGGCCTTTACTTTACTAATTTTCCTAGGAACCACTATTGATTGACATCCAGGCAACACAGTGGCAGACAGAATCAAAGTGTCTACCAAACAGCGTAAACTTGTTTTAGGGATCTTCTCTCTCCTCTGAACAAGTGTGCAGCCTGCTAACATAATTGTGCTTTTGACAATAGCAGAAACTGCAATACCAGAACTCAACCAGTTATCACAGTGAAAAGTTGAACAATAAGTTTCCCCCTACTACTCAATTAAATGGCTCTAACCTCTTTCCTGTGCACTGTTATTAGTCATAAATAAGTCACAGTCTGAGAGAATTGCTGCATTTTATAAGTTTTAAAGGGCTATATAAATGAGACACTAAGTATATCATCTAGAACGAGAAAATTCTTAGTTGAAGTTTTCAATTTAATAAAGGCTCTCGGGGTTCTTGAACCACGATTGTCGAATTGCTTCTTGCTCCCCGTAGATCTCGGTGGTCTATCTTTTTTGTTGCTGAGAACCAATGGCCCTGGGTGGCACCATGGGAGCTGCCCATCTGCCCTCAGTGACTGGCTTGGGCGGGGAGTCAGGGTTTGTTTTCTTCTCACCCAGGGGGACCTGCAGTCTCAAGCCATGGTGAGAGCAGTGGCTCGCCAGGTGTGCGAACAGCTTATCCAGAGTAAGTGCTCACAGCCACAGATGCTGGCTTCTTGCCTTTCTTTGTTAATTTGGGTTTCTTTTCTTTTTTATCCTATTTTATTTTATTTTATTATTGAATCACCGTGAGATACAGTTACAAAGATTTCGTGATTGGGTTTCAGTCATACGATATTCCAGCACCCATTTCTCCACCAGTGCCCAATTCTCACCACCACTGTCCCCTCCTGTCACCACCCCACTTTCAGCCTGCCCCCCTTTCTCTCTTTCTGTCTCTCTCTCTCATTTTGGGCATTATGGTTTGCAATACAGATACTGAGACACCAGCAGGTTTGGTCCACTTTCAGCACACATTTCCTATCCAGAGCGAGCCCTTCCAACCATCACTGTCATAATGGTCCCTTCTCTGTCCCAACTGCCCAATCCCCTAGCCCTTGAAGAGGCTTCTGTTTTGGCTTTCTTGAGCATCCATTAGGTTGGCTAAATTGTCCAACATAATGATTTGCTCTATGCCTATCTTGTAAAAGGATTACCGGGTCATAATTAACTGGTTGTGGTTTACTATTACTTGTCCAAATGGGAACTCACATTTCCTGCAGGTGCAGTGACTAAGGTAATGTTTCTGCAGCTTCATCTTGGGGCAGGTATGTCTTGGGGGCTGTACAAATGCCCATACAAGCCCGTCAAGAGATGGTTGCAGATTACCCAAGAGTTCAATGTCTATGGCACACAGCAGATTCCTCTGCATCACATATCTAAGTCTGTTTGCCCAGATGGATATAACTTGGTTAGCCAGATCAAATCTTGTATTTATTCTTCATTTTTTCCAAAATAATAAAAAGGTGTTTTTTCCTCAAGCATCTGAAAGTTTAAGGTTAATTTAAGGTATCAGAAGCTGCCCTCACCAAGATTTACATACTGCCTTCTACTGGGTTTAACTTATTATCTCTGTGGGAAATGGAGAGATAGTACAGGAGGTAGGGCACTTGCCTTACACACAGCTGACCGAGGTTCAACCCACAGTACCTCATGTGGTCCCCAGGGCCTAAATAGTTAAAATGAATTCTTTCAAGCATACTCTAAAACATGAGCATGCAAGAGGGTGTTTAACCCCTCAGGAGTTCTTAGGAGTAGCTTCTAGGAAATGGATGTCACTGGGGATTATGCAAGACAGCTAGAACAGGTCTATAAAATCAGGACACCCTCCTCTCTAGGGCTGGCAGGAGAGAAAGAACTAGAGACTTTGTGTTCAACAGTTTATTAGGAGCAAATCCTGACCTACCCAGCAGCTGAATCATTTTCTCTCACACCACTGCAGATTCCTCTGGGTGCCTCATTTCATTCTGTAACTCCCTTGGCCCTTGGTTTATCAGTGAGTTTATAATTCCTCACAAACACAGTCATTAGGATTTTAGGCCAGAGCTGAGAAAGAGAATTAGGCCACAAAGGATTACAGGAGATACTGTCAGAAGCCAGAGAAGAGGGACTGGAATGGTAGTACAGCGGGTAGGGTGTTTGCCTTGCACACGGCCGACCCGGGTTCAATTTCCAGCATCCCATATTGTCCCTCGAGCACCACCAGGAGTAATTTATGAGTGCAGAGCCAGGAGTAACCCCTGAGTATCATTGGGGGTGCGACCAAAAACCAAAAAGAAGCCAGAGAAGAAACACAAGTGATAAGGGTGGCAAAACCCTTGTCAGCTGGGAAACTGAAACTGAACCAGTGAAGGCAGAAGTGGCCTACAGTGGCCGCCTGACCATCAAGGGCCTGCCTGTGACCTGACTGACCTGAGAGTCCGGGGGTCTCTCCTCCTCTCGGTTTTTTTCTCTTCTTCCAGTGCAGTAAATCTATTCTAGCAATGATTGTTCTACAAATGACTACTAGTCTGTATTTAGGTCTGAGTGTTCAAAAGGGAATAAATAATTGTCATCTGGAAAGTTCACCTTCGTAGGAAAACGTTATGGATGATGCCAGGAGAAGGAGGCATAACGGTACCAAACGCTTTATCAAGCTCTATTACTATTTACTCAACTGTATGCATCAAGGCAACACTCAATTCAGAAATGATGCAAGAGGCAGCTGGATTTCCAGAAAATAAATCTGCTTAGAGTTTCTGCAGCTAGGACCCAAGGAAAGGTCCTGCAAAAAAGACTTGGCAACAGAGAGATGAGTAGAGTCTGGGGATTTGTGAGGAAAAGGGTGGTGCTGGCATTATGGATTGGGATAAAGATGAATAATGGGAGAAGGGTGGAATGGCTAGAGAAATGGGGCGTCTGCGAGAGGGTTTAAGGTCAGAGAAATGTTGGGGTGAAGATAAAATTTATGACTTCTGCTCAGTCATGTTTACTGATGCCGGGGGATTCCAAACATATGAGATGTGACTTGAATCGAATCCAGCTGTTAATAACATCCAAAGTCAAATATAAAGTAACTTTAAGAAGGAACTCAACAATTTTTTAGAGGCATGTGCTTTTCCTCTAGGTGGGTGTCAAAAAAGTCACATGGAGCTTTGAAAAATATTATTGCCCGTCCACCCTTTCTTTGAGCAGCAATTCATTTAATGTTGTCTCTGTCCTCCTGTCTCAGGTCACATGGCCAGGTACACAGCCATCCTCAACCAGATTCCCAGCCACGTCACCTCCATCCGCACAGTTCAAGGGCCTCCTGGTGAGCCTGGAAGACCTGGGTCACCGGGAACTCCCGGAGAGCAAGGACCTCCAGGCACCCCAGGTTTTCCAGGAAATGCTGGTGTGCCAGGGACCCCAGGAGAACGAGGTAAGCTGGGACACTCCTTTCCCTGGGATGGCCTCTGAGAAGGGCAGAATGAAACAATGCAAAACTCACAGAGATGAAGTCCGGGGTGACTGCCATAAACTTCTTTCACCTCATTGATTCTTTAGCTTCAAAGTATTTATCAGAGGCCACACTCTTCCTGTCTGAAAGAATGAGCAGGATCCGTAGCACATCTCTGAGGTACATGTGAGGTAGTGAGGAAAAGATAACACCTCTGGGCGGATGAAAAGAAAAGGGGATCCTTCCAGGTGGAAGCACAAACGTGACAAGCAAATGTGACATCTGACATTCGTTATGGCAAACAGTTATGTCACTTTTGAGATCTGCCACTTTCCTGTGTGTGATGTCCTTCCCGAAGACGGTCAGTGGTCAATCATGAGTTATGGCTGGAAACTTCTTCAAAGTAAAATACTTCATCTTCCTAGTCAGTAAGCCCTTGTTTGCTTGTTGTTTTTCCCCCCTTTCTCCTAAAGTGTTTTGTCTTTTAATAGAGCTAAGCTTAGTATGTTCTTCTGACTTCCACAGTTAGAGCAGAACTGTGTAATACACTCAGACTCCATGGCCAACTCCTAGTCTTCCTTCCCTTCTAGTCACCATTAATTCTTTTTTATATACATTTTATTTTCATAAAGTAGTTCACAATAATTCATTACAGATAATATTCAAACACCCACCCCACCAGCAAGCATCTTCCCTCCACAATGAGAGGGAAGTGTGTGAAGGTTGTTGTATTTCATTCCTGAGCAAATTAAGCCTGAATATAAGAGAATACAAGAAAGTATGTTAAAACCAGGAGAAATGTGTGCTATTTTAGGTACATTGGTAGGCTAGAGTATAAGAGGTCCTGTGGCCGCAAATGTGGCCGTGTATTCCAGGAAATACTGCATCGCTTTCTTCGGGAGTTTTATTTTATAGTCTCTGGATCTTGGCCATTGATGAGATTACATGTCACCGGTGGCAGTTGGTGGTTGTGACTGCCAAGCTACTGGAAAACTGAAGACCTGGGTGGAGGAAGTCCAGTCCCAATCCAAGCAGGCTTGGTGATCTCAGCCACTGTTCCCACATACCCGGTCACCATTAATTTTTACAGTCTCACAGTTCATGTCTATGTTAGCTAGCTCATTTCATTTGGTTTCTTAATGTATCACAGAAATGAGTTAATATAGTATGTGTCTTTTATGTTCATTCATTTTATTTGGGACAAGGTGGAGACCTCTCAAGTATTTCTCAGGACAGGATAGGAAAATGGCCAATTTAAACGTGGTGTACAACTGAATTCAATGGGTGGGGTTGGAATCAGAAACCTGTCACACATAGGAAAAGATCCCCGTCAGCAGATACTGTAAATCTCAGAGAAAACAGCATTTGGTTACTCCCTTCAGCCAACAAATATGTTCTAAGACAATGATGAGAAACCACTGTCCCTGTCTTTTAGCACATCAACATGTCAACATCACCACTTTCATCCCCATCATCAATAAGTTCCATCTTTGATATGTTTTTTTCTTGAAAACTGGTACATAAAACCAAGAAGCCTGTATGTTTCTGTCAACAGAGTTTCAAGTGCTAGGTGTGAGAAAAGGTGAAAATATTTACATTATAAAATCACACCCACTGTCAGTATAACCATTACCATTGTCTTGGCAACCCCTAGAGGCAACCAGTTATGCTTACAATCTGGGCTGTGCTATGAGTCTCAGAAATCACTACCTAATACACCCTCTTCTCTGAGATCCCTTGATTATTCTAACGCTTATATTTTTACGTCCTATCTACCTATGTAACTTAAAAATTTGTGCAGAAATAGTCCTATTCTAGAGTGTGCCCTATACTCTTTCTTTTTTTAAATCACCATGAGATACAGTTGCAAAGCTTTCATGATCAGGTTTCAGTCATATAATATTCCAAGACTCATCCCTCAACCAGTGTACATTTCCCACCACCAATATCCCCCTTATCTCTCCTGCCACCCTCCACCCCCAACCCCACTCTGCCTCTATGGCAGGCACTTTTCTTGTCTCTCTCCCTCACTCCTTTTGTGCACTATGGTTTGCAATGCAGATACTAAGAGGCCATCATGTTTGGTCCTTTACCCACTTTCAGCAGACATCTTCTGTCTAGAGTAATTCCTTTCAACCATCTCATTGTCGTAATAGTCCCTTATCTATCCCACTGCCCTCTCTCCCAGCCCTTAAGGCACGCTTCCAACCATGGACCAGTCTTCCTGGCTCTTGTTTCTACTGTCTTTGGGTATTAATCTCATGCTATGCTTTCTTATATCCCACAAATCAGTGAAGTCATTCTATGTCTGTCCCTCTCCTTCTGACTTATTTCACTCAGCAAGATACTGTCCATGTCTATCCATTTATAAGCAAATTTCACGGACTTCATTATTTTTCTAATATCTGTATAGTATTCTATTGTGTAGATGTACCATAGTCTCTTTAACCAGTCGTCTGTTCTCAGGAATTCAGTTGGTCTGTCTTTATTTAGTTTGCCTATATACTCTTACTTTCTGATTATGTCCAGCTCGACTTACTTAGAAGCAATACTACTCTCTACAGGTTATACCTGCACTTTGATTCTTTTCTTGGGCTATGAATGACTGTGCTCAGAGATTACTCCGAGCGCTGTGTTCAGGATTCATTCCTATCAGGACTTAGGGAACCATATGAAGTGCCAGGCATTGACTGAAACAGTCAGCAGAGTACAAGGAAAGCACCTTACCAAGTGCATACTATCTCTGTGGCCCCTCTATTTTGATTCTTGAGTATACTGCTTTAATAAACTACTTTCTGTACTTTGTTTCTCTAACTGGTCCTAGGATTGTTCCCTGTGTTGAAGTCAAGCATTAGTTCTAAAGGCCAGGGCCAACAGCTTTAGTTCTGACCAGGTGTTGGGTCCAGTGATTATCTGGTCCAGCTATTTATGCTGCCTGGGCCTCCTGGGAGCCATCCTGATGGTGCTCAGGAGGGTCTCCTTTTTCTGGTTATATGGCAACAGGCCATATACATTTTTCTCACTGACATAAATATTTTTGCCTCTTTGCAAATGTCCTATTCTTTGCAAGTGTTCTATATGTATCTTCCAAGGTTTAGTTACCTCCTTTCTCCTACAAGTTTTTGTTAATCTTCTTAGACCACAAATATCTCTTTCCTTGAAAACCCTATGTAGTGATTATCCCTCCTACCTATTTTCTCACTCAACCAGTGTTAGTGAATAGTCAGAATGGTGAGAGCAGGGAACAGGTCTGGATGGTTTTGTGCAATGCTTGCACATAATAGGTATTGATCAGAGAGTTGTTGAGATGATTGTGGCACAGTTTGTATTTTCTTTTCTGAAAGGTTTTCCAAGTCAACAGATTTAGAGAAAGACACAATTTCCCCTGAAGAATACCAAATATTTGGCAGCCAAAAAGGTGGCCACCTCTGTCAGCAGGATAATTGTAATGATGTCGTAATGGATACACTGTGACTCCAGGAGCACAGAGCCAGCGACTGAGTCAGTCTCAGCAAGTCACAAGTTGTCTTTGTTCTTTTTGGAAGCCCCATGCTTGCTTCTGCCAGAAAGATGTTGTCAGCTCTCCAAGACCATTGAACAATTAGACTAGAGACTAATCACCCAAGAGTCCTCAAACAGTAGCACAGACCACACTTAAAAATATGAATCTCCATGATACATTTTTATGACTTACTTAGATATTCCTAAAGAGTACAGCAGATAGCAAAAATCTTAAGTTTTATAACATTGAGGATGAGTAAGATAGATTCTGGGAAGTGTTGTTTGAGCATGAGGGAGTGGGCAGTGTGTGATGTTATTGTAGTTGAGCACCAATTGAGGGGGGATTGTTAGGGAAAATATAGCTGGCATTTAGAGATGGAAATTCAACAGACTTTTCATTACAGGTGCTGTATTTCTCTTGCTGTACTGTATTTCTGTTGCTTACAAGTTGAGTATTTATTCTTAAACTTGTGGATCCAACACCTAGAGAAGATTAATAAAGAAAAATGTCTGCCTTTATGTCAAAATTTTACAATTGGAAAAATTTCAACTATGATTTCTCTTGACTCTCTCATTTTATGTAAAAAAAAAAAAAGAAAGAAACACACAGATACTGAGAACCCAAAAGTTTCAAAGTCAGCCAAAATCAGGACTGGAAGTAAGACCAGAGATTGTGGGGGCTATTATGTTTTTAAAATATAATTGTTAAAGAACACAGTATTTTATTGAGTAATAATAAGTATCATTACTAGGTAGTGTATCTTGGCAATCAAGATGAACTACAAAAATAAGACTGAAGAAATAAGGCTATTAAATAGAGTATTCTGTATTGAGCATGCCATTTAAAGAAAATTCACTTTCTGCCGAAGTTTCCTGTGAGGTTTCCTACAAAAATTCATGATTCCATTGACTTAGGATGGTTTTTTAAACTTTTTGAAACATGGTGCAGTTATGAGGCATATATTGCATGATGTGGCAATGTGCATATGCGTGTGATATAGCAGAGAAGAAAGATATCCCTAAGATTAATAAAGAAATTGTTTTGTAACAGTTGTTTCCTGGTCTGTTGTCATCAAAGAACTGAAAGGCAACCTTGTATTGAATGACCAACATTTGAACTACACTATTTTGGTACAAGTTCTTTGGTGAATAACATCATTTACAGAGAAATGAACAAAGAATGTGCATTTTATGTAAAAGAAAGTCTGTTGTGGGCATAAGAGAGATAGTATGGCAGGTAGGGTGCTTGCCTTGCTATGTTTATTTCCATACCCCATGTGGTTCCCTGAACCTTGCCAGGAGTGATCCCTGAGCACAGAACTGGTAGCAAGCCCTGAGCACAGGCAGGCGACCCCCTCCCCCGCTCACCAAAAAGGAAAGAAAAGCTGTTTCTCCAGGAGCCCTATAGTACCTTTGGATAATGGCTCTTCAGATCCTGGATTCTAATATTTAGGAAAGGGATGGGATCAGCCTGTTTTCTC